TTTTATTAAATCTGAAAATCATGTGACTCATTCTGATAAGTCATAAATTATTTATAAAAGCAACTAAAAAGGGCTAATATAAAAATAATGAGAAAAATTCATAAAACGACTAAGAGGGTTGTTACATTTAGGTTACTATCCCTTTTTTTTTGGCCGATTATATCTATAACTATTATTTTAGATGATTTAGTTTGTGAATATATTCTTTTGTATTTGCAAGTATAAAGTTCAAACATATTTAGCTTTTTTGAATATGAAGGATTATTGTTGTATGTAGGCATGGACAAATGGTCGGATGCATGCACCATTTCATAGAGTGATGATGAGAGGAAACGAAGCAAGGTATTCAATTGGTTTGTTTTCAATACCTAAAGCTGGATACATAATAAAGGCACCAAAAGAGTTGGTAGATGAAGATCATCCTTTACTCTTTAAGCCCTTTGATTATCATGAATTCCTTGCTTTTGGCTACATTGAAGAAGACATGAAATGTGATTTTGCTTTGAAGGCCTATTATGGAGTCTGAATTTAATTAACTTGATTATATTAACTAGTAGACTAAATAAATATGCTCCTTGTGAGTATATGCTTGTGTTTTATGTACTAGCTAGTCTGAGAAATGATCCAAGTTAATTTATCCGTACTTTACGCGATCGCTAAATATTCTGATGTTGATTATAATATAATTTTTGATGCATCATAAACGAAATACTTTTTAAGACTTGAATATTAAATAAATCTACACTACAAAAATTTTGTAATTTTAATAGGTAGATACCAACGTCATTCTTCTTTTAACTCAAATATAAATTCATGTGTGTTTAAATATTTGTCGAGTTTTGACCCACTCTTAAATAAAATCAAAACCCACACTTTCTCACTTTTATAACACGCCATATATAACTAAAAAAAATTATTGAAATTCCTCGTAAGGTGAGAACATTTAGTAATCTACAAATCACTTTATCTGAAAAAAAAATCTTTTATCGCTTGTTATTCAACTTTTGGTAAAAGTTTTGAGTTTTTTTTAATGAATTATAATATAATATTTATGATAAGAGATTGGAGAAAAATCAAGCAAATTACTATATTTCAAAAATATTAGTACACTGTTACAAATATAGAAAAATAAAAAGAATTATAAGGCTAACTTGTTACTTAACCTCATAAATATATGAATGTATTCACCAAATCGTTATCGTACGTGATAGTTGTGCAATTTGTTTTCTTTTCAAGATGATTATTTAAAATAATGTTCATGTATCTAAGGAATTTGATTTCTTTTATGCTCTAATTAAGTTTTTCATGTTTAATATGAGAATCGGAATGAGTAATTTAATGTTAAACTTTTAAGAATTGCCTATGATAATACTTACAATTACAGTTAGAAAATTTTAAGAAAAATATTTTTTTTAGACTGATGAAATGATATATTGCTCACTTTAGTGAGATTCAAATTCATTACGATAGAATCTTCCTCAGTCCAACATTGTTAATGGTCTGTTTAATCCTTACTCTATAACTGAATTGCAATGTTAGTTGATATTTGTATGAGTCTCATATTTTGATTAAATTTTTGATGGTAAAAGATTGTTGATTTTTTTTTTTAACTGCCTCCAATGATCATTGATATGAAAGAATTACATTTTGAAGTTTGACACACCAAAGTCAATACAAGATCTTGGGGTAGAAATAGAGTTAGATAAACTCTACAAGTTAACACCAAAAAAGGGGGAATCTAAGCTAGCTATTACTCTACTAACTTGACTCCTTGACAAAGAGGATTCAGGGGGGTTCGTAAATAAAATTAGAAGGTTTGACCTGCTGCATTCTGAAGGAAGGGAGTTCCCATCTATCTGTGTTAATTAATCCCCTAACTTCCCTCGGGAGATCAGAGAAAGAGTTGAAATCATGTATTGCATCAACACTATAGCTCTTGAATGCTAATATATCAATAGATTTGTTGGCTTTCCTGAAGCAGATGATAAATCCATGAGATTCAACTATTTGTTGTGCTTCTTGAATCAATTCATCCAATCTCCAAGGCATTCTCCATTCTCCGTTTATACATTTTACTAAGAGTAGGGAATTCGTTTCGGGAGAAACCCTATCATAACCTCTACTAACACACCATTTAAGACAAAAGACCATAGAGTAGTGCACGGGCTTCAACCATGTTGCTAGTACCTTGGTCTACACCTAAAGAGTAAGCAATCATTATGTTGCCTTGACTGTCTCTGATTAGCCCTCCTCCACCATAGCTTTCTTGAACACAACTTCCCTCACTGTTGAGCTTAGTAAAAATTTTAGGTGGTTTGTGAAAGTCAAGAGCGGGGGGGGGGGGGGGTGAATTAAAATTCCCTTCAGTCGACTTTCTGCTCTGGTCAGTCGACTGACCTGCACGTTAGTAAAACAAATATGCAGAGATAGTAAAAATAGTAAGTAAATGACACTGAGAGTTTATACTGGTTCGAAACACCGATGTGGTGCCTACTTCCAGTCCCCTTGGGTTACAAGGGTTTCCTTAAGAGCTTAGCTTGTTGAGAACTTGGGTGTTACAAAATGTTACAATTAAGAGCCCCTTCTGATATGCAAATTAGATCTTTTTCTTCGACACAACCTTTACTTGTATAACCTACACTCAGACCTTTCGTTCTCTTTTCTTTTCAATTGTTCACTCAAGTGTGTACAAAGTTTTATGAAAGATAAAAGAATATTACAATATAAGTTCAAGTGAAGTGCGTACTTCACAACTATGACTTAGAGAGGTTTATATAGGACTTTGCTCTTTTACGGAAACCCAAGGAATTTTGAATCAAGGATCTTTGATTAAGTCATTGATTTTATTCTGATTGATTTGCTGAGTCATGTCCATATCAAATATGTGCATGAGCAAATCAATTTATTCCTTTGTATGATGATCTTCTTGTGGTCTTAAATCTTTGGCTGATCTCGTTAACTTGAATGCGTCCCTTGATTTCAATTTCTTCCTTGTAGTCTTGGATGTTAACTGATCTTGTTGTCTTGAAAGTATCCTTTGATTGATGCACATTATCTGTTTCCTTCCTCAGGTGATTTGTTCTGCAGTCTTGAATATATTTGATTGATTTCTGAAATCTCTGATTGATAATATGATCTGCTTGATTGATTCTGGAATCTGATTGATTCTAGAGATCAAGACATATCTTTATTGCAATAGTAAATGCAATATTTGTTTGCCTTTTGTGTCTCGTACAACACATGGCTTTCCCTCTTGATGTAGTGTGTTTTGACTTCTTTCCTTTTTGATTTCTTTGCCTTGATTGATGATTTTGGCTATCTTGAATATATTCTGCATCCCTTGATTGATGAACATATTTTCTCCATCTTTAGGTGTTATATTCTTGGCTCATGTTTTTCCTTCTTTGCCTGCAACAAGTCATAAATCGATTGAGTGTTTCATTATTAAAATTATTCGATTATGTGAGGCTAACAGTTTGAGCCATTATATGTGTCAAAGAGAAGGTCAAATTCCTTAATATACAATATATAGCTGAGCTACTAATTTGTAATTGTTCTTTATTGATTATTGATAAAATTAGTAGTTATCAAAATTATATAATTTACCTTAAAAATTGAGGAAGTTAAGTATCATAATCTTTGCTTTGTCCTGTTCCTGTTTTACCTGAAGACCTTCCCTAACCCCTTCAAAGAGCACATGTTTATTTGAATATAAGTAGTAATTTCTCTGTCAATTATGTGACATTTTTTTAAATTTGTCTCAAAAGAGAATATTATTTTTCTATATTAAAAATAATTTAAATTTATGAGATGGTTTATATTCATACAAAAATCTAAGGTTGTTTTAAACCATAAAATTTCAGAAAAATTCTTTTTGTCTTTTCTTAAGAATTCTCATATCTAATTAAATGATATCACATAAATTAAGACAGAGAAAATAATAATTTTGAATAGTCCTTTTTTCTATACTAGTTCTCTACTTCCTTTAAAGCGTAAATATCTATTTTTCTTTGCACATGCATCAAATATTTGGTGTAAGTCATGATCAACTTTTTCATACAATTAGATACTATGGTGCAGTGGTGAGCACGCTATCTAGACTTTAATAAAAAAGTATGTGTGGTTGAGTCGAGGACTTATCTTTTAAAAAATAAAATTAATTGAATGGTTCATTTATAAATATCAATAGGTGTGTGTTGTATCATTCAAAAGTACTCCATTTTTTTATAACGATATATTAAAAAAGATAAAATTATCAATAGATAGAATAAGATATTATGAGATAATTGACTATTAAATTACTAGAAATAATTGTGACAAAAGCTAAAACACAATTAATTGCGATAAAAAGGTCCATTAATGTCAGTACACATATATTCCATTTTGTTCAACATATTATATTTTGGAGAACCGATGAATTACACATTTCATCATCTATCTAGATATTTTAAACAATTGAAATTCATGATATATATGTTTTATAATATTACACGAACCATTGAAATTTACTGCGATAGCTTAGCTACGAATTTGTAATTGTTCTTTACGGACTACCAATAATATTATTAGTTATCAAATTAATATATTTTATCTTAACTATTGAGGAAGTTAAGTATCATAATCTTTGCTCGAATATTGGTCCATCTTTCATGTTGTGGTTATTATTGTTTGATTCTTTGCCCTCATACAAAATTCAAACCAAAATTTTAAAAAAATATTGAATTTCAATTTTGCCCAAACTATGCCCAGCTATACATACCTAAGAAGCTTAATTTTTTTTTAGCAACAATGCTATAAATTAGCTAGGAAGGCCTACTTATTGTTGAATTAATAAACAATTTGCATTAAAGATTTGTTATTTTGTTATCACATGGGAAAAGTACTTACCTTCACACAACCTAAAAGGTTGTATTATTTCAAATTCTTTATAAATAGATTCAATTGCATGCATAGAATTAAGCATAATAAATATTAAAAATAATCTGTTCTTCCAAGAAAATATGGGTTCTGAAAACATTAAGCTTCCAAAAATAGACTTTTCTCATGAAGATCTAAAGCCAGACACACTTGTATGGAACCAAGTGAAAAGCCAAGTTCACAAAGCATTAGTAGAATATGGTTGTTTTGAAGCTTCTTTTGATAAAATTTCAATACATCTTAGAAAATCCATTTTTGAATTCTCACAAGAGATTTTTGATCTCCCTTTAGAAACAAAACTTAGAATCATATCAACCGAAGCCTTCCATGGCTACGTTGGAAACTACCATCCTTCAATTCAACTCTTTGAAAGCATGGGCATTGATGATGCTAACATTTTTCATGAAGTTGAAAAATTCACTCAAATTCTATGGCCCCAAGGAAACCCTTCTTTTTGGTAAAACATTAATCTTCTCCATATATTAATTCTTATTATTATAACATGCCATGTTGCTTTTACTATTATGATTTTAATTCTTATATATATTGTCAGTAAAACTATCCAGTCATATTCAGAGCAACTAGCAGAGTTAGACCAAACAATAAGAAGGATGATTGTGGAGAGTTTAGGCGTGGAAAAGTACATGGATGAGCATATGAATTCGACCAACTATATTCTTCGATTGATGAAGTATAAACCACCTCAAAACAATGAGACTGAAACGGGACTAAGTGCTCACACGGACAAGAAAAGTCTTGCCATACTATATCAAGATCAAGTAAATGGTCTTCAAGTTTTAACCAAAGATGGACAGTGGAAAAATCTTGATCCTACACCAAACACTTTTACTGTCGTGGTTGGAGATTCTCTACATGTAAGCTCTTCCAACAGTATCTGCTTTTGTTTTCTTTATAAAATTAAAAAAAGATCGTTAAGCACCCAATATATATAGTATAATTTGCTCCGCCACTAAATTAAAAAAAAAGAAGATAAATTATAATATCAACTTATTTTAACCAGCTATGACATATGACATGTCTTGTTCTTTAGGCTATTGGTATTATTTTTTTATGGACGTCATCTATAGCTAATTTTCAGATGACTTGATTTGTGCAATTTTTTTTTCTATATTGTGAATATATAGAATTTCAAATATACTTAGCTTTTTCTATCTTTCAATTTTTGAATCTGAAGGATTGTCATTGTACGTAGGCATGGACAAATGGTCGGATGCATGCACCATATCATAGGGTGATGATGAGAGGAAAGGAGACAAGGTACTCAGTTGGTTTGTTTTCAACACCTAAAGCTGGATACATAATAAAGGCACCAGAAGAGCTGGTAGATGAAGAGCATCCTTTACTCTATAAGCCCTATAATCATGGTGAATTCCATGCTTTTAGCTACAGTGAAAAAGGCATGAAATGTGAATCTGCTTTGAAGACCTATTGTGGTGTCTGAATTTAGTTTAATAAATTATGTTTACTAGTAAAATAAATATGTATACTTCTTTGAGTATATACTTGTGTTTTATGTACTGATATGAAAAATAATACTAGTTAATTTGCCCACCCTTTGCTGAAATATTGTTACATTGATTACGATATAAATTTTGTTGCATCATTTATTAAATACTTTTTAAGATCTAAATATTTAATAAATTGACGATACAAAACTTTTGTAATTTTAATAGGTAGATAATAGACATCAACATCATTCGTCCTTTCTACCAAATATAAAGTCACGCGTATTTCAATATTTACTGAATTTTGACTGATACCCACCTTATTGCTTATCAAAATGAATAATTTAAGTGTTAACTTTTAAGAATTGCCGATCAAAATACTCAATTACAGTTTGAAAATATAAAAAGATAATAATTTTCGATGGAAAAGATTGTTTTCTTGTCTCATATATATATGTGTGTTAAAGAGTAGGTCAAATTTCTTGATCGTTGAGACAAACTGATTTACAATTGGAATTTACTATAATATCTGAGCAACAAATTTGTAATATATTGTTCTTCATTGATTACTAAAATAAAATTATTAGTTACCAAATTAATATATTTTATCTTAAAAATTGAGGAAGTTAAGTATCATAATATTTCATGTTGTGGTGATTATTGTTTGATTTTTTGCCCTTATCCTATTTTGCCTAAAGATCTTATCTAACCCATTCAAAAAACACATGTTTATTTTAATAGAAGTAGTATTTTCTGTCATTTACGTGACACGGAAGATTTACATCTATACAACTATATAAGTATCTAAAATTATTTTGGAACATAAATTTCATAAATCTCCATTTTGTTTTTTAATAAGTTTGTAATTAATTAAATGCTGTCACGTCAATTAAAATTTCAGGAGTAACAAATTTTAGCTGGTCCTTTTTTCTATACTAGTCATCTACTTCCTTTAATGCGTAGAGGTCTATTTTTCTTTGCACATCAAATATTTGGTATATGTTATGATCAAATTTTTCATACAACCAGGTTTTATAGTATAGTGGTGAGCATTTTAGGCCTCATTTGTTTTCATTAAGATTATGATGTCTGAATTTGAATGCATGTCCGAATGATTAATATTTTGTCTCTAGAGCTAAACGCTGAATTAAGACTGTTTGTTATTAAACATCTGAATATATATATATATATAATTTTTATTAATATGTAAACACAACAAATATTATAATTCAAATAAAATAGTAGTTAAATATTATATTAACAAGATATTAGAAAAAAACACAGTCTTTGATAAACGTTAAGATATTTAAATTATAAATTAATAGTTTAACTTTGATAAAAAGTAAAATGGAACTACATAGACTATATATATATAAATTATAATAATAAAAGTAATTGTTAAAAAACAATATAGTCACCTTTTTTTTAATTCAAAAACACATATTTATGAAGTTTGCACTTTAATAAAAATAAAATTTTTACAATATCAATTATTGATAAACAAGCCGTAAAAATAAAAATGAAAAGTATATAATTTTTTTTTGGATAATTAATAAAGTTGGAGAATAAGAGAGGCTTGAATATACCGTCAGAATCTAACTATCAAATATATCTCATTATTTTGCACTATTCATTAGCATGAGGTTGTACAGTGATTTAGGGTGTGTTTGATATGAAGGAAATGTTTTTCCTGGAAATCAAGTAGATTTTTTTTATTTATTTTCTCATGTTTGGTTGGTGAGTAGAACATATTTTCCGAAAAAGATTTTTTAGTGTTTGATTTATGAATGAAAAATATTTTTGAGAAAAATTTTAATTTTACTAGAGAATAGAAAATGATTTTTGAATTGAAATTGAAAATATTTTTTATAAAAATAAACTTAATTTTGTTGGAGGGAGGGTGGGGTGGGCTGGGGGGAGGGGGTGGCTGGGGGTAGGAATGAGATGGGGTAAAAAAATAAAAAAAATTGAAGGGGTAGGGGTGAAAAATAATAATTGAAAATTATTTTTAAAAACAAACTAAAAAGTTTTACTGGGGGGGGGGGTGTCACGACCCGATTTCTCAAGTCATGATGGCACCTACTATAACCCACCAGTAGGTAAGCCAACCCGTAACCCGGAACAACAAGTAATGGGTCTGAGGGTAGAAACTAAACAAGAGTAGATAAATAACAATATAAACAGGCAGAAGCAAACCAAAAACATATATACAAATAAAGATCCCTCCCAGAACCTGGAAGTCACTAGTACAGAGCTACTAACAAAATGAGTACAAGTCCCAAAAGTGGACAACAGAGACTGGACTGTCTCGAAAGGTAAAAGACAAGTCTATATATACAGATGGAGACTGAAATAGTACAAAACGTCGTGTGCTCACTCCCGTCTCCGGATCAGACTGCTCCAAGCTCGATCAACGCTGGCTACTAGTGCCCGGACCTGCATCACGAAATAGATGCAGAGCGTAGCATGAGTACCAAAACAACCGGTACCCAGTAGGCATCATAGGCCGACTGAACTTGAAAAGTAAAGGCAATATGAAAAGAAGGAATAACACAAACCGAAGTCAAGAACGGAAATCTAAGTAACAATGGAATGCACACGAGTGTACAAAGAACTAACTAAAGTAATCTATAAGCTAACTACACCTAACTGGACCCCCATAAGCCCAGAAGGTACACTCGTGCGCAAGTTAAATAAAAACCCGAACGGACCCCCATAAGCCCGACGAGTACACAAAATAACTATAACTAAAGAGAATTGCATAAGAGAACCCAAGAACGAAGAACATCGAACCAGAACCTCAACCCTAATTAGTAAAATCTGACAGTAAGGAGGCTGAACCTCGAACCGGATGCTCACCAGAAGTACCCGAGTAACCAATCACAAGTATCAAGTATAAGAGGCCGAAACTCTAACCGGATGCTCTATATAGGTATCTGAGCAATAGAGGCCGGACCTTAAACCGGATGCTCTATATAAGTATCTGGGCAATAGAGGCCGGACCTTAAACCGGATGCTCTATATAAGTATATGGGCAATAGAGGCCGGACCTTAAATCGGATGCTCTATAAAGGTGCCAATGTAGCTGCTGAAAGAGTCCTAATTGATCCATACTCATAAATGTCCGTGAAACGCCGTCCACACATAGCCAATCAATGTAAGTCCTTGGAACCAAATCGAAAACCAAATTCAAATCGCGAAGTAGAACTAGTGTCGCCGACGTAACTCGTGAAGCCGTAACATCGGGGAAAATAAGAATAACTATAGTCGGAGAAAGAGTATCACTTAACTAAGGCCCAAACTATTAGACTCAAGTCTGCTACACCAGTCTATAGGGATCTAAGCCGACCGAGCGACGTCGGGGCAAAACTAAGGCCTATCGGATCCGAATCATGTATTTCTAAGGCAAGCCCTAGTCAAACCTAAACTAAGGCCCAAATGCTTCAAATAGACAAGAATTAAGCATGCAAGCACCCCACATAGCGAGGAGGGTCCGTTAATAACACAAAGCATGCTCACAGTTACCCGATAATCCCCGAAATAGGCCGAAAACATGATTTCTTAACACCTATGCAAGATTCAATGACTACCCAACCCAAATCCCAACTAATCAACATGCATTCACATTCTCGAGCTCAATCTAAGAGAGGGAAAACCGTAGCCTACCTTAAAGCCGATCACACGCGCTCTAAAATCACTTCTTCGGAGCTTTTCCTTTCCGAACGTCCTCGAAACGCTGCCCCGCTATCAAAAATAGAGTCACAACGTTAATACAGTCGTTTAGACACCAAAATCACAACAAACGGAGATGGGTCAATTTTGGAGTCAAAACGGGAATCGTGGGACCCGCGCAGGAAATTCCGAAATTAACCCCAAAAGTGGGTCCTAACCAGTTCCCCCAGCTCATTTCCCATAATGTGACACAATTCGGGGCTCGGGAACAACACAATATCAACAAGCAACTAAAACCCATTTTTCTCAAACGAATAGAAATGGGACAACAGCTAATTCAGCGTTTTTACCAAAAACGGGCGATCTACAGTAAAATCTAACAACACCACAATGTTCTCCTCGAAAAACCACTCAAGATAGCCTCAAAAATCACCAAAATCGGATCTAAAATGGCTAAGAAAACAAGTCTTAAAAATTCCCAAAAACAAGCTCACAAAAAGGGGTCTGGCAGCAGGTACTTTTCGAAAATTACCTCAAACGGGGACTCCAAATCACTATCCGAGCTCACCAACACGTTGTCCTCGAAAAATCTCACAACTTAGCCTTTTGGATCACCCAAATCGGTTGAGAGATGAGAGAGAGATGAGGGTTTGAAGTTTGAGAAATGTGGCTGATTTTCTGCAAAAATTGCAGAAAATCTGCAACATTTGCAAAACTTAAAATCCAGACGGGGTGCTCCGATCTCGTTCGGAACCCCGTGCACGCAAACGAGATATGCAACCATACCAAATTTGATATTCCAGACTCAACGGCGCAGTCAAAATTTCCATCAGAGGTCATTTCGATAAAAAGTGGGTCCCACTTCCAAAAGCCCTTTTAAGTCAAAACCCACAAAAGGGCTCGGAAAGATATCGAAAACCTCCAGACACAAAAGAAGGGTCAATCTAGATCAAACTCGACATTCCGGAGCTAACCACGCTGACGAAATTCTCATCCGAGCGCGTTTACTCAAAATGTTGACCAAAGTTAAACTTAAGCCAAAATTCAAAGGCTAAAACGCCTAATCGCACCGACTCACACTGAAAACCTCGGGAGTCATGTCGACCATGCTACTAGCCTAAAATGACCCTTTTGGAGCTGATGAAATCGTCAGAATTGGATTCCGATGTCATCTTCTTAAATTTTTGATCGAAAATGATCGTTCAAGGTTCATAAGCTCCAAAACACAAAAACTCGCACCAAGATGAAACGAACGACCAGGTGACCGAACTGTCAGTCCCAGCAAGTCATAAATGACTTGGGGTCGCTATAGGAACGCTCTAAACGACACACAGAAGGCAAGACACAGAAATGACCATGAGGGTCATTACAGGGGGGGTCAGGCTAGGAGTGGTGTGGGGGTGAAAAATAAAAATTTGAAATTGAAAATAT